TGTTTTCAGATATATGTTTTATAAATATTTCCTCCCAATCTGTGGCTTCTTCATTTTTTGACAGTGTCTTCCAAAGAGGAAAAGTGTTTAATTATAACAAAGATCAACCTATCAATTTTTTTCTTTTGCAGCTCCTGCTTTTTGCATTAAAAAAAAAATAAATCTTGGCTAACCCAAAGTCACAGATTTTCTCCTATGTTTTCCTTTAGATGTGGTACAGTTTTAGCTCTTACATTTAGCTGCATAATCCATCTTGAATTGCACAGGGTGTGAAGGAGTTCAGAGCATGTCACTCCAAGATATGCCAAAGTGGCATACTGATTATTTTGTTAAAGGCGCTTGAGAACAACTAGGTGTAAGAAGGGCACTCCGAGCCTTCTTTTCTTCCTGAAAGCAGGAGATAAAACTCCCATGTGAAATGTACCTGCCCTGTACCAGGAGGAAGGAAGACATCCTTATCACAAGATGGAATTTGGGGCCAAGAAATCTGTACAAACCTTCTTAAACTAACCCTTATCTTCCTAGTTACTTCTCCACTATTTACTACCCAAGCCCAAACTCCTTCATCTTGTCAATTCTTCACAAATTTACTGTTTTTCTTTCTAAAAGGTATAAAAGCTTCCTGCTCTGGTCACTTATTCAGGTCTTCATTCTCTTGTACAGAATTACTCTCTTCTTTCATGTACATGTAAAACTGTAATAAAATTTGTATGCTTTTCTGTTAATCTGTCTTATATCAATTTAATTCTTAGGCCCAGCTAGAGACCCTAAGAGGGTAGAGGAGAATTTTTTTCTCCCCTATAGGTGCACGGTAAAAGTCAAGTACCTTTTTTTTTCTTGCATATAGATGTCCAACCATTCCAGAACTACGTGTTGAAAAGATCATCTTTTCCCCAGTGAATTTCCTGGAGAGTTCACAGCAGCTTTTACTCTAGTATTAATAAACCTCCACTACTAAAGTGTAAACCTTTTGGCTGATGGGAACATGAACTCTTCCCAGACGTGTATGAGCCTTGTTAACTGTTCAAACTACTGCTTTCCTGTGATTCTTTCCCTGGTTTCACGGAGTCCTACCCAAAACATGTCAAAAAAGTTAAGTCAATCTTAGGGCTCTCTTGCTTGTTTTTCTCCTCTCAGAAATCAAAGCCCTGTGCTGCACGCACTGTCCAATGTCTGCAAACACTTGTTTCATACATTTTGTCCAGTTTTCTTGTTGTTTACAGCAGAAGAACAATTCCTGTAGCATTTAATTCTTCATGAATGTCACTTTATTTTTAAATAGTACAGCATATGGGTAATTCTCAAAGATTACAGAAAGATTAGTAATCTTTTAATTTTTCTTTTTAATATTTTGCTGCTCTTCTTTCTTAAAATCTATGCCCTGGTTATCATTCTTAGTTTTCCATTTTTTCCCCCAATTTTTCAGTGTATGAATTCTTTAGACAGGGCTGTCATGTTCTTGCATGCTAACTTCAAGTATAAAGCTCAGTTTCATTTACTCTTCACAAAGTGAATATTTTAAAATCAAACAAATACATAAATTTCATATTGGTGATTAGAAAGAAGAAATTCCAAAAAATTTTAAGAGTTTTGTAGTACTGGAAAGAAACTTACATGCCCTCTAAGCCTTTAACACAAGAGGCTATCCTCTGTCAATAACCAAGAAAATACTTCGTATCCCAACCCTCCAAAGGACTGTAACCCATTTAAATTCCTTCCTTGGCTCAGTGTCCTTGCTGAGAGTCTAACGGGGGGTAATAAACTCCTCTATTCATATTCCTTTGATTATTGATATCACTTACAATTCTGGAAAAGAAATACTTCTCTCTCATTGGCCCTGAAGAACGTTCTTTACTTTGGCAAGCCTGCTAGTTTCATTACCAGAAAAGGGAGACTGAAACAGGAGAGGAGTTGCTACAGCTCACCACCACAGGTCAAAAGCTCAATTAAAAAATGAGCAAAGGGCTTGAATAGACATTTCTCCAAAGAAGATACAAATGGTGAACAAGCATATGAAAAGATGTTCAATATCACTAATCATTAGAGAAATGCAAATCAAAACTACAATGAGATAATACTTCACAGTCGTTAGGATGGCTACCATGAAAAAACAGAAAATAACAAGTGTTCACGAGGATATGGAAAAATTGGAACTTTTGTACACTATTGTTGATGAGAATGTACAATGGTGCAGCTGCTATGGAAAACAGTATGGAGGTTCCTCAAAAAATTAAAAATAGAATTTCCATATGATGTAGCAATTCTAATTTCAAGTATATATCCAAAAGAATTACAGGTAGGTTCTCAAATAGATATGTGTACACCCATGTTCACAGCAGCATTATTCACAACAGCCAAAAGGTAGAAGTAACCCAATTTCCATCAATGGATGGATGGATAAACAAAATGCATTATACACATACAATAGAGTATTATTCAGCCTTAAAAAGGAATAAAATTCTGGTACATGCTACAACATGGATGAACCCTGAAGCATGCTAAGGGAAACAAGCCAGTCACAACAGAACAAATGCTGTATGACTTCCCTTATGAAAGGTATCCAGAATAGTCAAATTCATAGAAACAGAAGTAGAATGGTGGTTGCCAGGAACTGAGGAGAGGGGGAAATGGGGAGTTGCTGTTTAACGGGTATAAAGTTTCAGTCTTGCAAGATGAAAATGTTCTGGAGATTGGTTGCACAACAATGTGAATATACTTAATACTGAACTATACACTTAAAAATGGTTAAGATGGTAAATTTTACATTATGTGTATTTTACCACAATTAAACACACTCATACACAAAAACGTGAGAGCACTGCAACTGGAGTCTTTGGTTAAGGTTTCCCTAAGGTAAGCTGCCCACGAGGGCACTTAAATAGCCCATTAGCTTACATGGATTATTTGGTACCATGAACAACCTACACTAAAAGAGGGACTTAAAAGATCTGATTAATTCCAATCTTAGGCATTAAAAAAAAAAGTTTTATTAGAACTTTGAAGGAAAATCTAAGAAGAGAAAATGAGAAGCCATAAAAATAAGGTACTATAAAAATTCCATCACTTGTAAAGAATTAACAGCCTCCCTATATTTGTTATTTTTTTAACCCCATATGTTGGCCTATAGTGATTATCAGTAAAAACTTCAAAAATCTAAAGAAAAGATTTCTAAAAACCTACGTTATTTAATGTTGAGCAAGTATGTTGAAAAGATTATGTTCTTGCCCATGGACCATCAGGAACCCCTAAGACATAGAGTAGATGGTTGCAACTTGGAACATAAACATAGACTAGATCCTTGGGACGTGCAGAAGGAAGACAGGAATCCCTGAAGAGCCCATGGGGGTTAGGACCAATCCAAGAGGTTTACTGACACAAATATTAGAATGTTCTTTAAGATTTGATCCGCAAATCTTTCACCAAAGCACTATCAACTATCTTCTCTCTCAGTATTTTTTGGTGTATGTTTCTGGTTGACATAATTAAAATGAATCCTGTATCTAAGCTCTGAGGGAAGCTCAGTGGAAATTTCTTGATGCCCACATCATGTTATTTCCAGCAGATACTAATATTTTAGAGCCACATTCACACATGAGAGGTACAGATCAACTAAATAAAAATGAAAACCTGTCCTTTGAGTGAAAGTGCTTATGGTGATCCTCACTGTAATGGGTGACTTGCCAAGTACTCTTTTCTGAATGCAGAACAGTCATATTGCCAGAGGAATGGAAGGAAAATTGAAAGACCATATGAGTCCTATCCCTCAGTTTTGGGGTAGGCCAGTGATTTAAAATAATATGGTTCATTGCATATCTTTATTGCTTTAAAGTGACATCATATAGCCTATGATGTAATGTGCTGCATGACTATTTTCAAGTGAAATTACTAAGTGTATACTTACTTGGGCTCTACTGCTAAAATCAAAATAACAGGAATATTAGTTTCTCTATTACTCTGGAAACAAGAGAACCAACTTAGAGTCAGAATCCTCGAAACATAAAATTATTATCTACATTTATGCAAACATTCCTAAAAGTTGTTAAGAGTTACATTAATGTACTTTTGTGAGTTAGGGAATTATATGGCTGGTCTACCTACTCTAATTTATGTCTATCCTTAAAGGTTACTAGAATTCCAATACTGAATAAGATCCTAAGACACAAATTAACTTGGGATTTCCCCCTTAAGAATACAGTAACAATGGGAAATGTTTTCATCTTTACCAGAATTTACCTAAATGTTTTGTCATTAAGTTTCCTGACAAGTGAAATGTTAGAATTCAACCTATAAACTGAAAAATAAAGACAAGCTAAAAACATCTTTTCTTTTAAGTATAAGGAAACACGTTTTTTCTTTCCTTATCTAGAAGTCTGTAAGACTCCAAGTTTCATAATCGTTTGACAGTTCCAAGAATGTCAGTAACCCAATGTGCACTCATTTATACAAAAAAGGCTTTTCTTTTGCTGTTACCAATTGAGTCACATTGTCAAAAGATCAGTGTACCTAACACTTAAGACTCAGCTATAGCTGTAGATAGAGCCTCTTGTTAGTTTAAAAAGGATCACTTTTTTATTAAACCTTTATTAAATCAGTATATGCTTAGAAGACCATATACTGATCTGCTGCATATTAAACAGAACTGATAGGTTAATGTTACAATTGCAATATGTTATATGGTGACTATTCTCCAGTGACCCAACTCTTCTAATACAAACGCTTCTCCCACAGGACAACGGGGACTATTGGAGATAAAGCATACTTACTAAAGTCCTTCTCTGTCACATTCAAAGGACAAAAAACAGCTTAGCTTTATCATCCAGCAAGTGGACCAGGCACTTTGGTAAAGGTTTTGTGGAACCGCTTTCTGATGCTCAGCTAAGTTCAGGCAAACAAACTGTGCAGTGGGCTATGTCACCACCACGGAGCTCTGACACCCCTCGGAGAGGCTTCTCTATCACAAGAATTCACCATGCTCAGGGTTGAAATGATCCATATATTACCTTCAACTGCTCTAGGGCAAAAGATGAACCATCTTGCCGTAAATTTTCAATAATCTGTTCCACAGTATTGGCCGAGAAACAACTATAAAAAAGGAAACAAAAGATTTCATCAATGTGCAAGCAGTTTCTTCTTTCCAAGACAGCAATGAGTCTAAACACAGGCTTCCCCTAAACCCCATTTCAATAATGAAAAATTTTACAGGATGATGAACTAGAACATTGCTTCTCTGGGTAAGGGTTTACAGTCTACCTTCACTAATGCAAAATAAAGGCTAAATTTTTGCTTTTACTTTTTTGCATCTATTATATGTAAATAAATATCTTAACTGCGAAAAACCGATGCTTCTAAAATGCAGAGATAGTTGTCTTATTTTCCAATAGTTTTCCTCCCCTTGTGTCCCCTATGCCAGTGTGTCAACCTCTGAAATCACTGCACAAAATCTTTTGCTGATTGGCTTGATAAGACCTTCAGAAAAGATGACTTTACAAAGATAAAAGATAAGTTAATTCAATTGTTATCTTCTAGCCGCTCTTCCCCATTAAAAAAAAAAGAAAAAGAAAAAAGATGTTTTGCACTAAAATGAATCAGCATGACAGATTACTTAAATATAATGAATTTATTTCCCCCAAAAAGAGTGGGCAAGAAGCTACTTTCAAAGAAAAGTGAAAATAAAAGCACTATGCTATCTGATCTCAGAATTTGGTGCATTATCAAATACAATATAACTACAATGTTAGCAAATTGAATTTAATATAGTCTTTCCAAAGGGAAGATATAATTGAGATCTCTCTTTAAGTACCTGTTTATTTTGTCCATGTGTTCCTCAAGTATAAAGGACTTGTCTCGATCAATCTTGGACTGTTTGAAAACAAAAATATTTCAATTAATTTGAGGTAACTCAAATCTTTTCAAAATCCTTTAAAATTTCATATTTAATGATACACTTTGTGATAGATTATCACTTTCAGTAAAATTACAGCTAACAGTCTCATAAATAACTACCACCGTATGTTCAAAATTCAGACAGTATGTATTATTCCAAACTAGCTCTTAAAAGTGTCAAAGGCAAAAAATGTTCTTATATTTTTATTTATACATAATATATTATCATTAAAATGTGTTAATAAATGTAGGGATCGTAAGGATGTGAGAAGTCATCTTGCCCAAATTCCCATCTAACACAGAAATTCCTACCACATTCCTGTAGTGCTGACCTCCAGGCAGAGAAAACAGTACTTCAGGAAGGAACTCACAAGCGCTTGAGCAACTATAATTAGGACTTTTAAAAAAATTCTGGACCAAAAGTCAGCCCTCTCATGTTTATAGTTCAGTTAATCCCTCTTCCACCTTCATCTTTTCTCACACAGTGCAGTTTTGTGTCCCCTGACAATCCAGGTCCTTCTTATGCACAAGTTCCAATTTATCCAGGTCATTCTTAAAGTGTGGAAACACATACCTTAGCTACAGGAATGGCTGAATCACAGCAAAGTACAACAGGGCCCCACAGACTCTTGTTTGTTTTGGATACAATTCTTTTACTAATAGGACAGTTCTGGGTTAGGTTTGGAGCAACCCTATTATGCTGCGGATTTACACTGAGTAGGTAGAATATTTTCTTTTAACTGGTGCCACTGTAGGCTACACCTCTCCCAACCTGTCCTTATGAATTTGGTACTCTGGGTTGAAATCCAAGATTTTCACTTATCTCTACTGTGATATTGTGATTTAAAATAAGAAATATCCATTTGGTCTTTGGCCATATATTTGGTCTTTGGTTCCTGGCTCACAGCTCCCAAAACCCTTGAAATTTCCTAAACAGAACATCTTTTTTATAATATTTGGTCGTTTGGTCTCAGTTCCTGGAATAAAGGTGAAATGGTTGTCTTTTGTTATTCATAACAAACTCCTTTCAACCACATCATTATTTATATTAATGGCGTGACTTCTGGAAAGTCCCGAAAGATGGGGGCTGGTTGCCAAGGGAACCAACCACATAATTAAAGGGTTGCAACCTTCAGTCCCATTCCCCACCATCAACCCATCCTCCACCTCCTCATCTCCCTCCCTCCACCTCCAGTGAGGGAAAAAAAGATGGAGACTGAATTCAATCATCAATGGTCAATGACGTAATCAATTATGCTTATGATAAATCTTGCCTATACCTCCATAAAAACCCAAAAGGATAGGGTTTGGAGAGCTTCATGGATTGGTGAACACATCCACATATGGGGAGAGTGGTAGACATCAACTTCATGGGGACAGAAGCTCCTAGGCTTGAGACCTTGCCCTATGTATCTCTTCATCAGGCTGTTGGTTCACATCCTTTATTGTATCGTTTATAATAAACCAATAAACATTAAGTGTCTCCCTGAGTTCTGCGAGCCATTCTAGCAAATTATTAAATCCAAGGAGGGGGTCATGAGAACCCCGATTTATAGCGGGTCAGTCAGAAATACAGGTGACAACCCGGAACTTGTGATTGGCATCTGAAGTGGGGTCAGTCTTGTGGGACTGAGCCCTTAAGTTGTGGGATCAATCTAATGCTAACTCCAGGCAGATAGAGTTGTATTGAAATGAGTCTCAGGACACCCAGTTGGTGCTGCAGAGAATTGCTTCATGTGTGGAAAACCCATATATCTGGTGTGAGAAGTGCTGTGAATGCAGTAGTAATGTGAGAGTACAGGAAAATACAAGGACTGCTTTCTCCATCCATCTATTAAATTTCACACTGTTACTATTAAACAGATCACTCTAAACGTGAAGGGTTTTTTTTAATCCATATTCTTTTACCTAATTTATTTTCTTACTTTCAAATCAATTTAATCAAAATGCTGTCAATATTCTCATCCAGATCACTGAGAAAAATACTGAATAAGACAAGGCCAAGATGACTTTACCTACAGACTAACACTACACACTTAACAGAACTCTTTGGTAAGGCCCTTCAACCCCCGTACTCTATAATCCACCCCATATTTACCCAATTTGACAACATGAGACACTATCAAATGTTTTGATGAAATCCTCACATGCTCAGTATTCATATTTATTGCACTGAGCATTCAGGGACCCTGTCAATATGTACTCATGTTCTTCAGTTCAGGGTAATTTTTTGCACTATTTCTCTAAATACTCCTCCCCCCTCAACCCATCTTCTCTGTTACGAATTCCTAATAATTAGATATTGGACCTCCTAGAATAATATCTCTAATTTTCCTCTCTCTCCATTTTCAATCTTATCATTTTAGTCCTCTTAGAGTCTCCTCCAACCATCAATTTTAATCTAATCGGTTGCGGGCTTTTTTTCCCTTTTGCTATCATACTTTAAATTTCTTTTTATTCTTTGACTACTTACTTCTTTTTATAATATCCATTCTTATTTCATAGATGAAATATTTTCCTCTGATCTGAAGACAAGCTTTTGTTGTTGTTGTTGTTTTTTAAGTTTCCTTCTTCTCCCAACATTGTCTGCTTCCTTTGAGTGCCTTTTTTGTTTTGACCAATCTCTGTTTTTTTATGCCTGGCAATTCGTGTTTTCCTGTGTGAAGCACTAAAATTAAGAAGCTTTGTCTGTAATGTCAATTGCAGTTCTAAGATTGCCAATCATCTGATACATGATAAGATGATCAGGCAAGGACCTGGATGTTTCATTGTAGGGGTCCTCGAATGTCAGTATCTGGAGGTTTTTTCTTTTTCCTCTAATGTATTGCTTGGGAGGAGGATGGTACAGGGAGCTGAATGTTTGTGTCCTCCCCAAAATTCATGTTGAAGCCCTAATCTCCAATGTGATGGTATCTGGAAGTGGGGCCTTTTGGGGGTAATTACATAAGAGGGTGAAGCATTGTGATGGGATTAGTGCCCTTAGAGGAAGAGACCTGAGAGAGCTCACTTTCTCTCTTGGCCTTGTGAGGATACAGCAAGAAGGCGTCCATCTGCAAACCAGGAAGACAGCCCTCACTAGGAACCAAATCAGCCGGGACCTTAATCTTCGACTTCCCAGCCTCTAGAACTGTCAGAAATAAGTTTCTGTTGTTTAAGTTACCCGGTTGTATGGTATGTTTTTTATAGCTGCCCAAACTGACTAAGACAGATGGTATGTAATGATTCTGGAAGTTGACTAGGGAAGGAGGCTAGAGGTCTTCCCATTTAGTATGCTTTGCCTCTTTTAAGTAGAGTACCTCACCTACCCCTGCCCTCAGTCAGCTAGGCCTGTCTGAGTTGGTCTAAGAAGTAAGACTCTATTTTTCCGCCAGCGTATAAGAGGGTACCTGCTGTTACAGGAGGAGAACTTTTGGAGGCCTATCTGCTCCTAATAAAAATTTGCAGAGATCTTCCCGTTTTTCTGCCCTACTCCACCCCCTAGTCTTCAGAAGGACCTGGTACCTTAAAAGGGTCTACAGCAAGAACCGACTTACTTCTTATTGTCTTCTCCCACTGAAGGACAAGATTTCAGTGTTCTTAGGTCTAAAGTAGTTGCCCTCATCCTTCTGCTTTCAAGCTTCCAAAATATTGACATCTCATGCCTGCCACTGTCTCCTCTTCTGTTCTGTCTGTTTTTGTGGACTCATGCCTTTTTATTCCTTTATTACAATTTTAGGGCGGTTTTAGGAGGGAGTATATACTCAACCCACCATGTTTAACTAGAGATCATGCAGCATGTTTATAGATTCTTTGCTCTTAAAAGAAAATTTAAGTTAGGCAACATAAGTAAGGAATTAAAAGTAAACATTACAATAAACTTTATTATTATATTTAGATACATACCAGAGTTTCACTTTAGCAGCTGCACAAATAGCATCAACATTGAACCTCCATCACAGAAATGTCCTAGTCTGTTATAAAAAGCCCTTCCAAAGGCCAATCACAAGGCTACGCAGTGAAGTTCAGCAGCAGTGAGAAGACAAGCTGTGCAGCTGCACAGAAGTCGTCTTGAATCCTAACCACTGTGAAGCGCTGATCCTCCCCATCAAGCTTTAAAGTAAATAAATCCCAGTACATTTATTTACATCTACTAAGTAGAATATTCATCAACTGCCAAGTTTTCAGTCATTTCCACTTTCCCACGAATTAAAACTGAGGTTAGAAAAGTCACAAGATTACCTTTGTATGGTAAGTTTCTAAGACATCTGCAACATTTTCACTTGAAGGAGCCTTCAGGGCTGATAAATCTTCTTCTAACGTGTCCAACTAAAGGGGGGGAAGAAAAGGAAAAACAAATTTTCTTTTTAGAAATCTTATATTCTTTTTTAAAATCTCTGTCTTAAAATTATCATGTGTTCTCTTCAGCTGAGTCAGTGAAGAAAATTTTCACTGAGGATGAATGTGCACACATTCCTACACAGCAAATGGTGCTTTGCAAGGAATGGATAAAGATGGAAGGGACTAAAGAGGAGAAATAGAGACATTCATATTTGTTTCCCTCTGGCTATTGTGCACTTGAAATGTAATGCAACCAAAGATCTGAATTATAAGTTTTATTTTAATTAACTAAAATTGCCACATGTGACTAATGGCTAGCATAGTCAATGCACAGCTCTATAATATGGCCACACTTCACTGTCCACCTATATCCCTCACACACCTATCCTATGCTCAGGCAAACAGGACTTTTTTACTATTTCCAAAACATAGCTAATGCTTTCCTGCCCCTATGGGCTTGCTCATCAATGTTTCCTCTATCCAGAATGCCTTTTCCTGACAAAACTCATCTTAAGGTGTAGCTGAGCTGCAATCTCTATGAAAAAACTTCCAGTCCTTTCTTGTAAGTAAGCTCTTACTCCTTTCAATTCATTGAGTACTTTCTTTGTATTCTTTTTTTACATTTATCATACTTTACTCTGTCAGATGAGACACATGGTTATTTATTCAGTACCCATCTCTAGCCCCATCCCCAATGTGTATTACTCCTTTTTATTATCCTCTACAGGCCCTGTGAATGGCAGGCTACACACTACAAATATTATTATTAGGCAAGCTGACAAAGAGGGGAGAAGAGTGTGGATCAGTTCCTCTCCCATGCTTAACTAAATCCCACCGTAACCACAGGTGTCCCTCCAGAGTAGATAATGGAGCGCCCATGTTTGCTTCCTGTTACATCAAGGGAGGGATGAGACAGCCACCTACTCAATGTGGCTGAAGATGCCCACAACACAGAGAAAGATTTGAAACTTCAAGCAAATGTGATGAAAGCCCTCATAACAATGTAAAGGGGACAAACTCCATACATTTTTCTAATGTTCCTTCTCCTATCTCAAAACACACCCCCCCAGGTTCAGATATTCATTTGGAGATCCATGTGCTTCCTGGGAAGCTGGCTTCACCCCACAGTTCCAGGGACGGAGCACATTAGCTAGGATAGGCTTGTCAGTGTATTCCACCCACTCACATAGCTCAGGGGTGATATAGGCCAGCCAAAGGAGAATAAACCCCAAACCTCTTGCTGGGAATTCTGAGGCAAAAGTACCTGAAATTGGGTTTTCTACTACATTTAGCACAAGGAGCTTCAACTACTATGGTAAAACTGCAGGTCCCATTTTTGGAGATGGGAAGACTGGGGGCAAAACACGCTAAATTCAAGCTAGGATTTAAACCCAGGCTGGCTGGCTGCATGTTCTTTGCCACTATGCTATCCTGTGCTAAGAAAAATTGGCTACACTGTTTAAAAAAAAAAAAAAGACAAAGATAAGTAACAGCTGTTCCTTGTCACAGGCATCCTTATGAAAAGTTTTTTAAGAGTATATTTTACAAATGCACTAGGGAAACTCACAACCAAGAGAACCTTTAAAAAATGCCTTTATAAAATAAAAGCCTATCTTTTTATATATAAATTTAGATTTTTAAATATTAGACTTTCTTAAAATAGGTATTAATTTTTTTCAAAAAAACAGACCGTAATTATTCATTAAAAAATACTTACTGAAGGTCCTGGGCAAACAGCCTTGAATCCAGATACAATCATCTCCATTTTGTATATAAGGAAACCGAGGACTGGCGACCTTAAGCACCTTCCCCAAGATCACACAGCTTCAAGCAGATCCAGGATTCAGATTCACATCTATCAAAAGCCTGTGATCTCAACCACTCATACGCCTCCCTGTGCAATATGAGTTATTCCAACAACACAAAATGCAATCATCCAAGCAGTTACCTTTTCAGAATCTACAAAGTGCGTGGCAATGCCTGCTGTGTACACATCTCTTCCTTTTAGCCTGAATCCTGTTAATCCAAGGAAGTAACCAAGTTTTCCTTGAAGTCGTGGCAAGAAATAACCTCCACCCACATCAGGAAATAGTCCTGTAATTAAATAACAAAAAGAGATAACAATGGTTCAAATAAAAGAAATGAATATAATTCTCTTTACTTTAGATCAGATACTCATTTCTCTCTAGAGTTTGAATCTCTGTTAGAAACATTATTAAACTAAGTACTATACAATGCAATCAATATCACAAAAGACTTGCTATAAATTAAGCTAACAATTTGGGTACTTAAAATTTTCATGTGTCATGTCTATGGAAGTCATTAAAGTATTTGATGGCAAAATGTTTTGTACATAAAAAGTAATCAATAAATATTACCTAAATTTTCTCACCACTAATTTACTTTTTAAGAATCTCTGAAATAGGTAAAAATTGAAAAATACTTGCTTTCCAAATGATAGCATAGGAAAAAATATACATAATCTAAGGCTATTATATGAAAACTGATTATTACCATTTAAATCATTTTCCAAATAGCAAATTAGCTAAAATTCACGATATTTAAAGGGATGCAATAACCATTAGTCCTACTAAACAAACAAGTTTATACCTTATAAAATCACTTGCTTGCATTTACTCTTCTTAACCATCAGCATTTTTTAAGTTCCCTTATTCCCTCCACAGGTAATAACTGAAAACAGCATATATGCAAATACTTGCCAGTACACTACTTTCTAGTGTTTAAGTGTTTAAGAACTCCTTAAACAACTGTGACCCTCTAGTTTTATAATCCATATCTTTTCTAAGACTGCTTCATTTAATTACGTTTAGATAAAAACACAAGAATTCAAATCCTTTCCAGTTCTACTTCGAAACTCGAAAGAACTGGCAGCATACTGCTATAAACAGAAATCTCTCTTAGCACCCCAAATAAGATAGGTCTAAGTTGAATTCACGACCTCCCCCTACTGCCATCATCCCCATCCAGGGGGTCACCCACACCAATAAAGGGTGCAACCAATCTAGCCTCAACATCTTCTCTCGTACCACCCCTTGAGCCCCCAACAGTGACTATGTCCTGTTGATTCCTCCTCCAAACGGTTCTCCATACGATAGCCAGAGTGATCTTTTTAATAACACAAGCCATTCTACTGCTTAAAACTCTTCCATGACTGCCCATTTCTTTTACATTAAAACCAATACCTTAATCAAACTCTTCAAGGCCCCCAACTATTCCCAACATCCTACGTGCCTACCTGCCCCAGAGCCTCGGCGGTACTCCGACAAGTGAAAACACCCTCAATCCTGAAACACTTTCATCTTTCCCAGGGCACCATATTCTCTCTTTCTGCTCCCTGCCTCAATGGCTGCTTCTTTCCAGTCCCCCTTGCTGGTTCCATTTCTATTGTTTGACCTCTACATGCTGTTGTGCCTGGGCTTGTTCTTAGAGTATCCCCTCCTCCCTATACATGCATTTCCTTAGCTCTTATGGCTTTAGATAACATCTATATGCTGATTAGTCCCTGTTTTGGACTGAATTGTATCCCCCCAAAAATTCTTAAGCTGAAGCCCTAACCCACAATGTGACAATTCGGAGATGAGACCTCTAAAGAGGCAATTAAGGTTAAAGAAGGTTATACGAGCGGGGGCCTAATTCAATATGACAAGTGTCCTTACAGGAAAAGGAATAGAAACCAGGGACACACACATAAGAACAAGAAGGCAGCTGTCTACAAGCCAAGGAGGGAGGCCTCAGGTGGAACCAAACCTGCCAATACCTTGATCTTGGGCTTTCAGCTCCAGAACTACAAGAAATAAATGTTGATTAAGCCACCCAGTCTGTGCTATTTTGTTATAGCAGCTGTAGCAGACTAATATGCTCCCAAATCTATATATCTAGTTATGCCTTTTCCCTTGAATACTCAACTCTTAGATCTGCATTCTAGACATAACCACATGTATAATAAGCAAGTCAGATATAACATGGCAAAAACTCAACTCTTGATTCCCACCCTCCAACTACAATACTTCTTCCCTAACTGGCCTCATCCACCCAGTAACACAAGCTCAACATCTTGGAGTTATTCCTGATTCATCACATCAGAAAGCCTGTGAACTCTAAAACATCTTTCAAAACTATCCACTCTATTCCAATTCTATACCTCCACATTACTACAAGTCAAAATCCTCTCTCAATACCTGTGCTATCCAATAGAATTTTCTGTCTTGATGAAAATGTTCTATAATCTATGTTGTCCAATAAGGTAGCCACTGGCCATGGGTGGCTATTAAACACTTGAAATGTGGCTGGTGTGACTGAGATACTGAATTTATTTTATTTAAATTTAATTAATATTTAGATAGCTATATGCGGCTAGTGGCTACAGTATTAGACAGCATAGCTCTACATTAATGTAATGACCTTCTAACAAGTCTCCCTGCTACAATTCTTATACCCCTATGATCCATTTTCCTCAAAGCAGCCAGAAAACGTAAACCAGATCATGCACTCCTTGCTTTAAACTCTCCCACAGTTTCTCATCGTATTTAGGTTGAAATCCAAGCTCTTCACCAGAGGCCCCTGTGTACCTCTTTGAGAGCCCCCATGTACCGCTTCAAGAGCATAGTATATCACTTCTGCCCTTTATTCAGACAGTTGCCTCTATTTGGTTCCTTGAACAGGTGAAGTTCATTCTTACTTTAGAGTCTTTGGACTAACTTTTCTTAATGCCACAATATTCTACTCTAAGATATTAATAAAGCTACTCCTTCTTGTCATTCAAATCCCAGCTTAAAGGACAATTCCTTGGAGAGCCTCTTTAACTATCTAATCTAAAGTAACCAACCAGGACATTTATGCTTTGGACAAGATAGAGTGACAGGGACCAGACTTACCCTCCAACCTGAAACAAGTATAAAAACAGATGCAATATACAAAATAATGGTTTTCAATATACTGGACCATCAGGCAATAAAGGAAAGTGATCTCTGAATATCTGAAAACAAGATAAATCCTGTAAGAGCTCCAATTTAATGCCTTGAAAGAATTTCCAGGCCTAGCACAGTCCTTGATTTGAGGGGATGAAGCTAAGCGTCCAGGGAGATGAAGGCAGCTAGAATTCTCAGAAGAGAGTACCACAGAGGACAGAGCTGCACAGAGAGAAAACCCTGGAGATCTGCAGTGGGTCTCTTACAAGTACTCAGCTTGGTACTGATCAATACATGTACATGAAGAAACTACCTGAGGCTAGAGAAAGAACCACAAGAAAAGAATACAGAGAACTGTACTGGGACCCCGCCAAGGGCTGCGAATAGTGCCTGTTCCCACAAGTCAGACTAGGAAAACTCGTGATTCATGGGGCACTGAATAGAATATAAAGGGCTCACTTCAGCAGTAAAAAATAATTAGTCCTGGCCTGAGCACTACTCCAACCCTGCACTTAAAAAGAAATTTTCAAGACTTCAAAGGATCAAACTGTTTCCAAATAACTTAACTTCATCCCAGAAGTAAGCTCAAGAACACTTATAAGAATACAAAAATATCCAGCATCCAACAAGGTCAAGTTTATAACATTTAGAAGCCAATCAAAAATTACCAGGCATCTAAAAAAGCAGGAAAATAATACCCAAAATGAAGTGATAAAACAATCAAAATGGACCCAGAACTAACAAAAACATAAGAATTAGCAACGAAGGACATTCACACAGTTATAATTAAACATATATGTTCAAAAAGTTAAGTAGAAACATGGATGATTAAAAAAAAAGACCCGAATGATACTTCTATAGATGAAAACTAAGATGAATGTATAAACTGAAAAATATCTGAACGGGATTAAGGGCAGATTAGACTTTGTAAAAGAAAAGATTAGTGAACTTGAAGACAGAGGAACAGAAACTATCTAAAATGAAAAAAAAGAAAATTTTTAAGAATGAACAATGCATGAGTGAGCCTAACGTAAATTTAAATGGAGTTTCTGAAAAGGGAGTGGGGATACAGAAAAATATTTGAAGAAATAAGGTCAAATTAAACCTAAGTAGCTCAATAAACACAAGCATAAGAAACATGAAGAAAACAACACCAAGGCACATCATAACCATCTAACCCACAACAAGTGACCAGTAGAAACCCTTAAGAGCAGCCAGAGAAAATAAAAAGATACAGAGGAACAAAGATAAGGAAAGACGAGAGATTTCTCACAAGAAACAATGTAAATGAGAAGACAGTGTAGACACATTTTTAAAGGACTGAAATTTAAAAATCAGAATAGAATAGAATCCTATACCCAAGTCTTAAATCACTGACCTCAGCTTTCACCTTAGGAGACTAAAGAAAGAGGAGGAGATAAAACCTAAAGTAAGAAGAAGAAAGGAAGTAATAAAAATCAGGGCAGGAATCAATAAAACAGAAAATAAATGAAACCAAAAAACTCTTTTTTTGAGATCAATAAAATCAATAAACTTCTAATTAGATTGATCAGAAAAAAAGAGAGAAGACACAAATTACTAATACCTAGAATGAGAGAGCCAGATGTCCCTACCGATTCTACACATACTAAAAGATAATAAAGGAATATTATGAACAACTTTATGCTAATAAACTGAAAAATTCCTTAAAAGACCCAAGCTTATGCAAGAAAAAATAGATAATGTTGTGAAGAAGAAATCGATAACTTGAATAGCCCTACATCTATTAAAGAATTTGAATTTGTAGTTAAAAACCTTCCCACAAAGAAAACTCTATGCCCAAATGGCCTCACCGGTAAATTCTACAAACAGAGAAAAAATGATACCAATTCTACACAAACTCTTCCAGAAAATGAAGTAAGGAGTGGCATTGGTGCTATAGTGGTGAGCATAGCTGCCTTCCAAAATGAAGGTAGGATGTTCCAAGAAAACCATAGACCAATATCCCTCATGAACACAGATGCAAAAGTTCTAAATAAAATTTTAGTATATCAAACCCAACAATATAAATAAGTATAACATATCATACCAGAGTAAGATTTATCCTAGCAATGCAGGGTTAGTTTAATGTTGAAAAACCAATCAAAGTAATTCACCATTAACAAATGAAAAAACAAAAACCAATGATCATCTCAATAGATGCACAAAAAGAAACTGACAAAATCCAAAATCCCTTCCTAATAAAAACCCTGGGTAATTTAGGAAGAGAAGAAAACTTCCTCATCCTGATAAAGGACATCTATTAAAAACACTACACATAACATTATACTTGAGTGGTGAAGGACTGAATGTTTTCCTCTAAAATCAAGAACAAGGCAAAAATGTCCACTCTCAACCTTTCCATTCAACATTGTATTAGAGGTTCTACCCAGTGTAAAAAGGCAAGAAAAAGAAAAAAAGGCACCCAGATTGGAAAGGAAAAAGTAAAACTGACTTTATTTGTAAATGACATAATTATCCATTTAGAAAATCCAATGCAATGTATAAAAAAAAAAATCTAAAGAACTAATAAGTTTAGAAAGTTTGCAGGCTACAAAGTCAATGCAAAAATCAATTATATTTCTATATATTGATGTAGTGTAAGGCCTGAGTGACAGGTGGCTTTTCTTTTTGTAAGTGCCTGCATAACTTAAGCTTTGATTATCAAGGCATCCATTTCAAAGAAGCATCCACTTCAAAGAGGGCTATCTCAAATACATTGCCAGCCACAGGACTAGATGAAGAGCCCACCAGCCTCCCTGCACTGAGCCTCCTGTTTTAGAGATCTTTGTTGATTTCAATAACTGACCATTTGGGCTACTTTTTTTTCTTCCCCATGCTGCAAATTCCTGCTCTTATGTTTTAAATTCACCAAAAAAAAAAGACTGAGCCCATGAAACCCTAGACTCCCCACCCTCTGACCCCAATAAAAGCAGAAGCCCAGGCCCACGCTCACCTACACTCTCTCTACCCAAGACCCAGCTGTGTGGTTTATATGCTCCAGGGCTTGTAAATAATAAATAAACTCTTTTTTTCTTCAAAGTTTCCTAACGGTTTTTGCTGAAGAGCCTCTTGCAATCATAACTAAAATGGTCGGTCCAGTTGTAATCTTGTTTTGAAGAGGAAGATGTCTGTGGGATGCTCGGGGGGGGGGGGGGGGGGGGGGGGGGGGGCCAGGTGAGTGTCCTCAGGCATTTCTAGCTATAGCATTACTATTGACAAATAAAAATGGCAAGCAATAGGATATATTGGAGTATATGAGGAAGCCATTTGGTATAAACCTAATTCGGCCTGACTTTTTTTCAAAAGGGCCTGACTGTGGCTATTGAGCACGCATTGCATATCTGCTTAGACATTTCCTATGGCCAGAACAAAGGCCCTTGAGATAAAGGTGCAACTTCCCCCCACATTACCATTTCCTTAGGGATAAGCATTTTTCCTTAGGCTAGGAACTGATTGCTGCACTCACCTCCCAGCTCACCTGTGACCACCCAGCTGGAGACAACAGACTGCCACCCTGCTGTGTTCACAGAGACAGAAGACCTACCTGCTATTTCCATCAATCGCTGTGCCGACAGAGCAGTCTCGCGACTATTGTAAAAGGGACATTTCAATCCTATGTGAAACATCCTCTTTGAGGGTATATAACCACCCTTATACCCTCACTTCTTTGGAGTGCTCTGTTCCTTTGTGGAAAGACTCTCCCGGGTTATAATCCTCAGATTTAAGCTCAGAATAAACTCACCCAAATTTTCACTTATAGATTGGATATGGATTATTTTCGTCGACACTATCAACAGGCTGAAACCACATAAAACAATTGGTAACAATCAATCAGAATTGAACTTTTTAGAAATATCATTTACAATAGTGTGGGGACTGGAATTGGCCACCCCAAGATATGTCTCTTTGGCATGATGATTATTTGAGGCTAGTTACTTTGCAGACAGGAAAGCAACAGAAAAGTAGAATTTACTTACCCTTTGTAAGAGACATTTACATTGTAAAGGAACTCTCCATCTGTAAAGATATCTCCCTCTGTACCAGGAAGAAGGGGAGATGACCTTGTCTCTAGAAACTCTTAATCAATGCCAAAGGCAAGGACTTAAATCTGCATTTTGTTTACTGTACTTGTGTGGTAATCTCCCATGATTGACTCCCCCTCCACCCTAAACATCCTCCTTTGTCTTTAGATATTTAAGTGGTGGTTTCGGCCATTTTGGCGAGTTGCTCAGCTTGCCTGACCTCTCCCATGTATACATGTTATAAAGCTTTGTTTAATTTTCTCCTGCTATTCTGTCTCATGTGAATTTAATTTGTTTTCCGGCCAGACGAATCCACATTTGGGTAGAGGAAATGTCTTCCTCCCCTACAATAGCATCGAGTAATACGAAATACTTAAGGATAAATCTGACAAAGGATATGTAAGACTTATACACTGAAAATTATAAAAGCTGGCTTAAAGAAATTAAAGAAGACCTAAATAAATGGAGAGAGATACCTTGCTCATAGGTCTGAAGACTCAATATTGTTAACATGTCAATTCTAAATTGATAAACTCTAGTCAATCCAAATCAAGATCCTAGCAGCATTTTTGTTAAAATTGACAAATTCACTCCAAAATTTATATAGAAATACAAAGGATCTGTATAGCCAAAACAACTTGGGGATAAAAAAGATAAAAATTGGAGGATTATCACTACCTGATTTTAAAACTTACTATAAAGCAACAGGAATCAAGACAGTGTAGTGTTGGCACCAAGATCAAAGGCAGTCAGTGGAGAAACAATAGCTTTGTCAAAAACTGGTGTGGAAAACAACAGCCAAGACTTGAAGCAACCTAGGTGACCATCAAGGGACGAATGAATAAAGAAGATGTGATATATATACATAATGGAATACTACTCAGCCATAAGAAATGATGAAATCTAGCCATTTGTGACAACATGAATGGACCTTGAGGATATTATGCTGAGTGAAATTAGTGAGAGGGAAATAGTCAAATACCATCTGATCTCACTTATAAGTAGAAGATAAAAACAACAAACACACACAGCAACAGAGATTGCATTGGTGGTTACCATAGGGGAAGGGGGCAGGGCAAAATGGGAGATTAGGTACACATGTGGTGATGGATTGTAATTAGTCTTCGGGTGGTGAATATGATGTAATCTACACAGAATTCGAAATATATTATGATGTACATCTGAAAGCTATATAATGTTATAATCCAATGTTACTGCAATAAAAAAAAATGGTGTGGAAACAACTGTTGACCTCAAAATGCAAAATAAACTTTGTTCTATACCTTTGATCCATACCTCACACCATATTCAAAAATTAATTCAAAATGGATCATAGATCTGAATGCAAGAATATTTCCTCTAATAATCCTTTATCTAAAATTAACTAGTGTCTCCAGTTAAATATTCTTGCTTTTGAGTTTAAGATACAATTACTGAGCTAATATAAACTTTAGATATCTTCCTATTCTAATTTCTCTTTAAATGTTCTTTCATTGCCGTATCTCACATAAGATTCTGTCAATTCCTCCAACAACAATGTAATCTGAAATGTATCAAAAGAAGATGATTCTAAAAGTAATTAGGAAAAATTTTGAGTTTTTACCTATTGCTGTTTCTGGCATTGCAAAAAGAGACTTTTCAGTAGCCACTCGGAACTGCCCATGAACTGAGACACCAACTCCCTAGAGAAATAAGGCATAAACATGTTTAAAATTACTGTAAGAAGTAAAAGCAAAATTACACACTCAGAAACATTATAAACTAAGTAAATTATCTTTATATTCCACAAGAATTTCTTTCAGGAGATAAGACTGGAGGGAAATGCTAAACCGCACAATTTCAGAAGTTACTGGCCAAAAAACATATGGGTATCCCTGAAATCTGGAATAGATTTGTTTTAGCTAAGATGTTTTCATTCAGTTCTGTGTTATGCTTCATGACCTCTTCCCCAATTCCCTCTCATTTCAAACTAGCTGCAGAATTACAGAATACTGACTGTTCCCAGAACCACTGAGTGTTGTTGTTAGTGGAATCAATCACCAAAAAGGCACAAAAAAGTTATTCTAGTGAATTTCGGTAGCTTTAAATAGAATTTTAATGCATTTTATTTATTCACACATTTCATCAAATAAAATTAGCAACATCATTTTTCTCAGATAAACATTTAATGGGGCCAACTACATAACTCTTAAAAAACTGGTTACTAAACAAGTTTTAGAAATAACAAGTACTAGAAATAAAAATTTCTATTTTCTAAAAATAAAAAGATTTGGCTGAAAGCCTCTCTGACTTGTTGAATGTCATTAAAAAGGGCACACTTAACAGTCATCTTTGAGTAAACATATTTGAATAAACAGACATATTTGAATAAAATGAAATAACAGGTATCCACGTGATGACAAAGTATCCAAGTTTATGTCAGGGCTCACATTGTAACATACATTTCCTACGTTATATTCTTTCGCATTACTCAGAACTTCTACTAGATTGTTTTAGTTCTCATTCTTAATCCTTTTTAACAAGTATATTCTATCTTTGACACCACAGAGTTAAAACAAAGTATTTGGAATAATGTCAGGCACTTAAGAGTCCTATAAGTGTTAGCTAAATAGAAAGGGCTTCATTTCTATTTGATTCTTCTAATTTTTCACTATTATTTCCTCAAATCGTTAAGTGTTTTCACACTCAGTTCAGCCATTTAAAAGTTCCTGAAACTTGGAAAGCTTTTAGCAAAATACTCAAAAACACATGTAATTTCTTATAAATTTTATGTTCTATAGGCTAAGCTTAAATTTTAAAAGACTATGTAAATAAACATGGAAGTGAATAAAATTCTTCAGTCACTACCTACATCCTTTGGTATCAGCATTTCTAAGTTAAATCTACAATATTTAATACTCTGTACAAGAAATACCATCATGGTATAGGTATTCTTTTAGGACACAGTCAACTGATAATATTAACCCAAATTAGATTGTATATACTTCAAGATGATATGAAATCTTACAAATTTTAATAAAAATAAAACATTAGTAATTTTATTAATAATTTCTTGTTATTATTTTAAGAGCCTATGCCTCACATTCTACTCTCCACTTTTAGTTTATCACATTGTAGCTCAAAGTTATTAGTGTTCAGGAATGTCTTGCTAAGAGAGAGTTGGACTGGATTCTCAGTTCCCCAACTATGTTCTTTTGAGTCCTAGGGCTCAGAAGAGCTGCCTCCATCCGGGGCTGCAAAGCAGGTAAGATATCCAAGCCTCATTGACTGATCCTGACTCAACTATTTGTTTTTGTTAGTACCATCAAGTCAATTCTGACTCCTAGCAACCCTGCCTAACTGAACCAGACCCTGCCAGGTCTTTTTGTACCATCCTTTCACCTTCTGCACTATACGTGCCATGTACTCTGTTGCTATTCACAAGGTTTTCGTGGCTCATTTTTTCAGGAGTGGACGGATCATTCCTCCTAGTCTTAGTCTGGAAGCTCTGCTGAAACCTGCACACCATGGGTGACCCTGCTGGTATCTGAAATGCCAGTGGCATAGCTTTCAGCATCACAACACGCAGCCACCACAGTATGACAACCAACAGACAAGTGGTATGGTTCCTTGACTAGAAAACAAACCCGGGCCATGATGGTGAGAGTGCTGAATCCTAACCAATAGACGACTAAGGCTAGCTGCCTCAACCTTACTCCTCTGGTTATTGCCTCCTACCTCTTTTAATTAACTATGAATTCCACAATCAGCACTTGACTATATTCTTCTTGATTAAATATTTACATATAAAAGGTAAAGTCTGACCACAACACCCAATCCGAGTCTCATCTCTCCCCAGAGATACACAGCTATTAATTTGGTATGTAATAAAGATATATACTTTCAGATTTTTTTCCCATATGTATCTGTAATGCGTAGTTGCACAAATGCAGATATTTATCTGACACAAACACACACATCAAACTTATTCCACAGCCTGCAAGGCTCTACCTAATATTGCCCAAGCTACCTCTCCAACTTCATCTCCCACCACTCTTCCCATGCTCATTCTACTAGCCACAGGACCTTTGTGGCAGTCCTCCAAGATCCCAAGCCTTTACAATTTCAATTAATCATATAATTTTAAAGTGAGGAAGACAGAGTAGAGAAAGCCACTGCCTGTCCCATCACTGCCCTTTCTCTATAGGAATCTGCTCTGTCCAGAGACTTTGCCCATCCCCCAGCAGTGGCTGAACCAGGGATGGGCAGCAGACCCACGGGCAGCCAATTGAGGCTAACTAGAACTCTAAGGCCTAGGGAGAAAAGGGGGAAGAAAAGTGCAGTAGACAAGATTCTTACTCTTAGGTATTTAAACTAAAACACAGTGGGCAACTGTGAGTCCGATGACAGCCAAAGAAGCTTAAAGGTCACTTGAAGTTTGAACTGAAGAAGACGTGACAGCCAAGAGAAAGCTGAAATTATATGAGGTAACAACCAAAAAAGCTGAGAAGGCTGCATGCAGCCTATACAACATAGAGAACAGAGGAAACATACAAAACGCAGCAGCAGAGATAGAGAGACAGAACAAGAAACACAGTAATTAAATTTGCCTTAAGTGCACACTTTCAGGCGAGTTTCCAGGAAGACAGCAATGCTGTGGTTTTGTCTTTGGATTTCTATTTGATCCCTGCACTTGTTTAATAACTACTCCATTCTCTTTTCTGGATCTGTAGGAGTCAGTCTCTGTTCTTTTCAATTTAAAGGAAGTCTCTTCACCACATTTTCGATTAGACCCAGACGTATACCCTGTCATGCTTCAGCAGCACACAATACGAGCCACTTTAGTCATTTGGCCTCTAGTATATATTCATCCCAATAATGCTCTGTGCTTTTTCTTCCTAACATTGCTCTGCCTGACTAGCCATTCCCATTTTACCTTCTGGGACTCTCATTTCTTTGCAAAAGAGCCACCAAACAGCCCAACTTCTCTAGAGGACCCTCTCTACCTTCTGAACTCTACCTTAAAAAGAAATTTATGGGGGGGCTGGCCCTGTGGCCGAGTGGTTAGGTTCGCGCGCTCCGCTGCAGGCGGCCCAGTGTTTCGTTGGTTCGAATCCTGGGCGCGGACATGGCACTGCTCATTGGGCCACGCTGAGGCAGCGTCCCACATACCACAACTAGAAGAACCCACAACGAGAAATATACAACTATGTACTGGGGGGCTTTGGGGAGAAAAAGGAAAAAATAAAAAAATCTTTAAAAAAAAAAAAAAGAAAAAAAAAAAAAAAGAAATTTATGGGGCTGGCCCCGTGGCCGAGTGGTTAAGCTCATGCGCTCCGCTGCAAGCGGCCCGGTGTTTCGTCAGTTCGAATCCTGGGTGCGGACATGGCACTACTCATCAAGCCACGCTGAGGCAGCGTCCCACACACCACAACTAGAAGGACCCACAATGAGGAATATACAACTATGTACCGAGGGGCTTTGAAGAGAAAAAGGAAAAAAAATAAATCTTTAAAAAAAAAAAAAAGAAATTTATAAGCCTCATATTCTTTCATGCAGAAACTATAGATCCTGTAGTCATTGATTCAGTTATTTTCCATTTATTTTTGTGTTACACTTTTATTTTGTATTATATTTTGTTTCAGCCATGGCTGATAAAATGAATGAAATCAAAGACTTCAAGATTTTATTAAGAAGCTATTAAAGCAAAGCTTTCAGAATATGAGACCATTGACACAAATATATTAAGAGTCAATTTAAAAAGACTTTTATCAAGCCACCTGACTTGGAGATAAAGGCTGATCCATGTTGAAAGGGGTGTAGCACCCTCATGGCAGATTCATATCTACTTTTCGTAACTTACATAAAAGAATCCATTATAGGTTGCTTGCAAGAAGTCCCCTCGAAACTTCCAAAATTTACTGTTATATTCTATTTAACCATTAATCTTAGCTGGTACTCCTTTGCTAGACTAAAAAGGCTTCAAAGTCTTCAAGTTTTTGTACATTGTACATTGGGGGAACTAATGGTTGTACAGATTTACTCCCCAAATGTGATACTTTATTCCAATTCCTAACTCTCCTCAAATACTCTTTCTGCATCCTACCAAGCACAGTAGTCAATCTCATTTTTCATCTAATTGGATATCTCACCAGCACTGGACAGAGCTGCTCACTCCCTACTTCAGGCAACTTCACTTGGCTTTGAGACGCCATACTCTCCTGGTTTTCCTTCTCTCTCTCTAGCAGCTCTTTCTCTTTCCCCGTCATCACAATGTTGACCTGCCCCAATGATGAGATGTTATCCCTCTACTCCACTTCATCTCTACTATTCTTTCTACATTCATTCTCTAAGTGATCTCTTCCAAGAGCCCCAGGATTTTAAGCACTATCTATAACACTACTGACTTGAATGATTTCCCCATTTCTGATTTCTCTAGACTTTATACCTAGTTGTCTATTTAACATCTCCACTGGGATGTCTAATATGTATCTCAACCTTCAAACATCAGAAGTAAATCTCTTGATTTCTCCTTAACCATGCTGCTCCCTCAGTCTTTTCCATCTCAGTAAATAGCACCATCATTCATCCAGGGGCTTAGGACAACAATCTCAGCAGCAACCTCTTTCTTTCAGACCTCAAATCTAACCTATGAACCTGTCTTAACAGCTCTAACTTCAAAAGATATCCTGGATTGGGTCAC